TCACCTTTAAAATGCTGAACTTTGCACTGAAGTAGAATTTGAGAGTGTTCGAACTTGTAATCTTTTATGATTCCATTCATAGTAGGTCAAAGGTTTTGAACGAGTGCATCAACCAATTCAATTGGAGCTGGCCAACTCATACGGAAACTATGTAGTTGAGAAAAGCTTTTACGGATTACTATCTAGTTGACAATAGCAGACAGTGGTAATAAGCATCTATGTTTATTAAGCACCACAAAGCTCGTGGATTATACATAGTTCCAGTTGCGACTGATCATACCTGCTATTTACAAACGAGGCAAATGGCCTGATCACGCAGTTCTTCAATATCTTCGAAAATTAATGTAAACGTTTCTGTAAATAAGTGGTTCTTCACACGAAGGATTTAAAATAGTAAACTGATGCATGTATTTCAAAGACTGCCTTATTCAGCGAAATATGTCTAAAAATCCCCATTTTCCAGGGCTACAGAATAAAAGGCGATTCTAGGTAACAGTGACCACACATTGACAGTTCTAATTTTTCATATGGTTTTCCGCAATAACATTTCAGCTAAAGCAAAAACAAACGTTTAGACAGCAAATATGCAAAAAAATTACTGTTCGGAGCTTCAAAATGATCTGAAATCCTGTTAATGGACTAAAATTTTAATGTAGCTGATAAATGCTTCAAAGTGACTTATGTTTCATAATTGCCACCAAGTTACACATACATAGACAACGAATAAACTTCAGTTGTCTGTCGCAGTGCTTTCAGCCATATCAACACGAAACCATTGTAATTTTCACTAGGTCTTTCGTTTATTCGAAACTGGATTGGGCTCTTGGACAAAGTTTGAAGAACTGCAACTAAATTCATTCACGGAATCGCAAAACTATCATATTACGAGTGATTGTCATGAATATAGAGTTACTGAATGATTAGATGTCACTTAATCGCAATTTTCTAAATTACTCATTCATCAATTTGCCTTATACAAGCACTCATTTATCTCTCAAAATAGAGAATTTATGGGGACATCTTAAAAAATGTCACAAGCCCAAATTAACTCGTCGGATGCCTATCGACTCTTACACTGAATCATCAATGAGTGGAGCTCGTCAGTTCAACATATGGGTGAAAGTCTATCTATAGACACAAGAAAAAGTAAGAGGTGGATCAACACTGACTTTTACGGTTTAAACCAACCTCATATTTAGCTGAGATTTTGCTAGTAATGAAATGTTGACCAGAGAGCATAGTCGATGGTAAACGAGGGAATATATTGGTGAGCAATATACGAATGAAGAGGAACAAATGATATACACACGTATCAGCTTTATTACGCATTATAATAGGTAAGCACAAACAACGAACGAATAAGCCTATAAATGTGAATATACTATAATGTAATATCAAAAGGGACTAACAATCAGCTGAAGAAAGCACTAAGAACCATTTCCAGTACTGCATAATAAACCGCGTAAGTGCACATAGGATATAAAAGTGATAATTTGCTGTTCATGAATTAGTGAAATGTATTTCTTACTTAGTTATTTAGAACTAACTGATGATAAGTAATGAATGTTCTTTTAACAGCATATGCACAAGTGTCATCAAATCTGTCTGCGAGTTGCCGTTGATATAATCTCTGTTTTCAAACCTCTTTTACATACTCTGTTTCCTCTGAAGAAAAATGTCGTTGATTTGGTGATAGCGTATAGACAGGAATTAATTCTGCAGCGTGTACAGTGTATGAGGGCTTGTCTAACTAAAACGATTTGCATGCTAGAAACAGCCAAAATTCTCATTGACATATGCTTTGGTCTACCAAGTAGGTCAATCCTCGATCCTCCGTAAACATTAAATCGCCGTTTTCGTATTCTGCATATATGTGGCTCATCTTGTCCAATTCCAGCATTTTCGTGAAACAGACGGAGTTGGTTGTCCAGATAGTGGAAGCAACAGTTTGCGTGCTTTTTACCTGTAGCGTCTGGTTGCAGATGTGTTTTTCTGTGCTTTCCCTTGTGGATATTCCGGTATGTCACTTGTGCACAACCAATATGCATAGGTGCAAAGAACCACCTTACTGTACATATCTTTTTGGTGACGATTCGGCGACTCCACAAGAGTAATAGTGTCTCTACCAGGTGTTAGTATGCGGCCATTGAAAGCTATAGCCTAAATGTCTTTATATTCAGTAATGACCGACTCAGGTACTGTCCTAACCTTCGACTACTTTGACTGACTATTCTGAAGTACTGGTCAACTCCAAACAATAACTGCACTGCAAACGTTACCGTCCGACAGTCTCCGCCTTAATCAAGCAACGAAAATAAGCCCTTAAGATACTATTACCGGTCTAAGTGCAATGTTATATTTTTATAATTAGTAGTAATATACATCCTCAGACAACAATGTTACATAGGGTATGCCAAACATGGAAGTCTCATAGGACTATGTTGTATTGTCGATGGGTGATTTGGACTGTTGCGATATCGGCGTGCTCGTAGTCCATGACAAGGCCTTTATCCTTGACATGTTACCCATTATTTCTGTAAACTAATCTACTACTCAGATTAAATGGACTCTCTTTTCTTTACATGTCCGTGCAGATGAAAGTTCGAAAGGCCATGGACGAAACCGTCAGTTTTCAAAATATTTTTCCGAAATGGCATCGCTCCGACGTTGCATACCAGATTCAAAATTAACATTATTGTGTAAGAATTCCGGCCGTACTAAGTATTTATGCAACACAACCTTTAAGGTTTGTGGTTGTTATAAAGTAGATTTGTCTAGCACTTGGTGTGAACTATGACATTGAGAAGGTGCGTACGTCAAGTTTGTTCCAAGCATAAAAAGAGCCATAACTGTGCCCTGAGAGCGTGATGCTGAAAGAAAGAGAAACAAAGGAGCAGAAAAACACTTTGAACTAAACAAGATGCAGTGCTTAACATTTTGTAGGGGAACAGACAGAGGTATAATAAATTAGTAGATTAAACTCAGACTGAAGACGAGGCGGTCAGTCGACAATACTGAAGTTGTTTGCCTACGCTCGCTACTCAGAATCATGTTCCAAATTTTGTGTTGAGGTCTCCATTCTACTACGATAATCCATAGCGTTCTAACTCAAACTTTTGCATGATGACATCGCGACTGACATCAGATGAAAAAAGACATTAAAAAAAGAAGACAACAAAAAATATTGTCATTAGCGTTTCTTAACATTTCGCCCTCTTTCGGTGCACTTTTCACACTAGTAAACATCCTGCTTTGTTCTGTAGCGGTAAAGAGATCAGAAAAATAAATATTTCTGTGGGTCTTCGACATTGATGCTGACCTCGTTGGTTTTACTGAACTCACCTAGGTGAAGGCGTTCGATCACACATTCACATTAGATCACGAATGCGTACACCGTTCTACTTATCCCTTTCAACTGTTATTCAGCCTAGATCAAATACTTCTCCACTTATCGATAGCCTTCTAAATATATCTTCGAACCTTTTCATTTCAGATTTGACTGAGTTTTCATACTCCGATTGTAAAAGTGTCTCATGTAAATGTGTTGTAAAACTACAAATACCTTGGTCATCTTTACATGCTTGATCTGTCTAATGGCGTCAATAGCCTAAGGAGTAAACTTAAAATTTTTGGAATCTCCCTATTAGAATCTGTGAAAGCCTGCGTTTAATGTTTCAGCTGTGTCTGAATTATCGACTAAAGTTAACTAAATTTAGTAAATGTGTAGATTGCGCTCACTGTCACTGAAATTGCTTCTCCTTATTGAGTACCTGTTACAGGCTACAAATAATGAATAGGATAAGACAAAAGCATCCAGTATGTAAAAATGACATACCGCAGGATTACACAATGCGACTCCTATTGTCCTTGTAGGTTCTATGTGTAGTCCTAAAACAGCAAATATTTAACAAAGAACTGAGAAATATCGATTCCAAGAAACAAATAATAACAGGCAGTGCATGTGATTTGGTCATAGGGTGTTATGAGGTTAGCCTACGGAAATATGTTCACAGATCTCAAAGTGACAGTGACGTCAAGAGTGTGAGGTAAGAATTAACAATCTTAAGGGAGTTCAGCGTTAAATATATTGCAACCGTAGGTGAATTTGAACCACAATCCTCTTTTTGTAGATATTATTTGTTGCAGAGAAGCTATTAGAACAAGTGAGTACTTGAGTATTGCAAACTCAGCATATGATGAGCTTCAAAGTAAGTAATTTTTATTGGACGTGTACTGTTGATGGTTACATACAACAATTTCAACATGGTGTGTTGAGTTTGGAATGTAATTGAGCATCAAGTGCATCTTCAACTTGATTTGAACATATACTACGAACATCTGACAGCCTTCATAACTGCAAGGTTTGTTTGAGTGTCACTTAAAGTTACATATTACTTATTAGGAAAGGCAATTGAAAAGTAGCAGTAGATATAAAAAGACATTGAAATATTATGTCAAGAAAACATAAAACAGAAGAGGACCAATATCTATCTTTTTATTGACATTTTTGTCCTAACATAGACATTAGATGTGTTTTGTTTAAGTGGGCTACAATGTGAAATCTGTTCAAAGGTAACATTTGTTTAGTATCATGAAATGTCGAGGAAAAGCGAAACGTAGTAGTAAGAAGTAAGTTTTTGAGAACTTTCTTTCTATAGACTAAAGCGAGCACAGCGTGTACCCGAAAATTTCTTTCTTTGGTCTGGTAATTGCTTTTTGATTGAAAATCTCTTATTTCACTATTTAGTTCCGGTATGCTAGTAAGACAGATATATGTGCACTAGTAGTGGGGTGTATCTGTGCTGTTGCAGTTGGCGCCGCAGTTCCACTTAACGTGTTTATCTTCAAGGGGGTCGTAAACGAATTTACAGGGGACAACGTTGTTGCAGAAAACGTATACGGCTCAGTGAAATGGTTTGCTGTTTTGGGAGCTGCAATGTTTGTCGTTTCGTTTATCCAGGACTTTTGCATGAATATTTCAGCAAGCAGGCAGATTAACCGGATCCGTCTACTATATTTCAAAGTATGTCACCTCCTTTTCTATTTAGTTAATTAAGATGCTATCGATTCTCTGACCACTTATTTCTGAAAAAAATTTACACCTTGATAAAAAGTATGCAGTTTTCGGTGTCCATCAGCCATAATCTTTTATATTAAATTTCCAGGACTAGAGAAATGAAATTTGTTACCTTTTTGGGACGAAGATGGCTGACATGTATAGCAGGTTGGCGTTTGTAAATTATATTATGATTTTGAAGGGATTTCTTCACATGCTGCAACCAGGAGTCATATGTAAGAGAAAAGTTTCAGAGTATAACTGAGAGTCATGATTTCACTTGAGGGTCGAGATATGTTACTAGTGGCCGCAAACTTAAGGTTACTGAATAAAGGTGATGTATTGAGATGGGTGTATATAATAAAATCAAATTACTGTATGAACAGAAGATGGATTGTGATGTAAAGTGGAGCAACCTAACAGAAGAAAAGATGAAAAATTCTGATACAGCGACAAGTAGGACAGAAAAATTCTTTTGAAGAGATTTGCTGGAATGCAGTCGGTTGATACATATAGCTCCAGTGAATTTAATACAGTTTGAGCTTGGTTTTTGTTGATCACCCCTACAGGTCTCAAAGCACATATTTAGTACTATTTTAAAAATTTTCCATCTTAATACACTGTTGAAAGTCTTTCTTTACCTGAACATAGACTGTTCTTCTATTTTTGTGCTGTTTTGACTGATTCATACAAGCATCCATATACAGTTTTTGGTGACAACGGAAATACATAACGATATTTGTTTGTGAGGTTGAAAATGTGATATAAAAACTGATGAACTAGGCTTCATTCTAGCTTGCAGGTAGTGCAGTGTTCTACCAAGTGCAAATTTTAAGTAAATATGATAAAAGAAAAAAACGCATAGTATCGGTAATTGTAATAAAATTCTATATTTATCTGGCACAAAATAAGTTTTTGAATTGATTGTGAAAGAAGCCACAATTTTAAACTTTTGAAGGGCTTCTAATTGTTAAAATCGCTTTGTTTACGTTTTTATTGACACCAAACACACGATGTCAATGATAAAGAGATAAACAGAAATACCGAACTTCAGTTTGTTGTAGTAAAAGAAAGACTACTAAAATGAAGATACAAGTAAGCTGCTGCCTATGTTTTCAGGAAATGTTTGCTTAATTACCCTAGAAAATTTATACTGTTTAAGATGCCATAGGGTGTAATTATTCATAAAATTATCTCTCGAATTACCCTCTTGATACGTCAGTTTGCGTCTAATGTGCCTATCAAAATGTACTAACAGTTTTAGTTTTCAAAGTATTGTCTGAAAAAATAACGGTCATACAGGCTAATACAAAGTGACCATTTGAACTAATGAGGTTCTCAAATTCACACACTATCAAATATTAGATTTGGGATATCACTTTACGACCACATCGTGAAGCGTAATGCTCTCCGATGTATCATTCTGTGACAAGCAGTTAATTACTTACGCTATGAGTTTCTTATTAAGAATTCTGTCTGTAAACCTATATCTGTGTCGTCTAAGTGTTAAGATGAATTTGGTTGAAAATTTATACTGAGTAATGTAATGGAAATAAGCTTTACACTGGTACACAATGTCACAGTAAATGTACAAAATAACTCTACCCCATGTCCGACAGCAACGTCCAATAAAGGCATTGGTAGGTTACAAATATAGGTAACAATGACGAATGTGATCACATCATGCTCAAATGCTATTATTTAACATGTAAGTTGCAAAAAATGTATCAAGTCTAATGGTAGGTAACCTTAAAGTCATATTAAAATTCGGCATTGTGACTTTTTCAATTTTTCAAGGGTTAAGGAAGTAAATCGTGATAAGCTGTATCATTGAAACCATTAGAGTAGTGATTGAAATAAATAAAAAAGGCAACTAACCTTTTCAACAGATCCATTATTGTTAAATTAGGCTGCGTGTATGACTAAATTTGTTAAAATTACAACACAATATATTTTATTTCAAAAACATACCATTTTCATACCATAATGCGGCAATTTATAAATCATTTTGCAAACTAAATATTTCAAAGCACTCTCGTGCAAAAAATCTCTTGAGTTTAAAGAACTTTATCCAATTTCATTTATTCTGACAGACGGTCACTCATGTAGAATCAAATAATCGACATTGCTATAGGTGACTGCTTGTTGTTAATAAGTTGTAAGTGGATGTCTCTGAATATCTTGGAAATAGCTTTCAATACTGAGCTTATATAACACTAGCAAGGTTATGTAAATTGAGTACATAATTGGACACTGCACAGTCTGCAATACAGTGTTTTGAGTACACAACAGGAACTCATTGACTTAATTTTTAAAGTTTATAGATCGAATTTAGAGGTAGTTCGTATTTTATTGGTCTAATTGAGGAGCCATCACACCGAATATAGGTATTTAGTCTGCAAGAGAGTTTCCTGATTCAAGACCTACAGTGAAGTGTATCTTAAAATAGTCATCGGGATTTGGCTAAATGTACTTGTTCTGAAGCTATGTAACCAATAGTTCATAGAACACTTAGAAATACTGTATGACTATTTGCCTAGTCTTACAGCTTGATTAAATGACGGTGAATAAATTTGAATTTTATTTTATCCAAACCTAGTTTAAATCAAACATATTCTACTTGCGGTTTGGATTTATAAGCTGATGAATTTTAGCCTATCTTAAAATCGTGTTTTTATTTAGAGTATTTTACGACAGGATATTCCATGGTATGATGAACAGTCATCTGGGTCACTGATCAGCAAGCTCTCCCAGAATATTGAGCTCATTGAACGTGGTATTGGAACAACACTCGGAGGTTTTATAAAATACATATCAGGATTCATAGTAGGCATCATAATAAGTTTTTCAGTGGGATGGAAACTTACTCTAGTTGCTTGTGCCATGTTACCTGTTATTGCTGCAGTTTTTGGATGCTTCGGTTTCATTATGAAATATTTCACTGTTAAGGAGATAGCTGCATATGCACAAGCAGGTTCTATCGCTGGTGAAGTTTTAGAAGCTGTTCGTACTGTTGTGGCATTTGGCGGCGAGCAGAAGGAGCTAGCAAGATATAGTGAACAACTGGTATTTGCCGAAAAGGTCGGGCTCAGAAAGTCAACAGCAACTGGTGGAGGTAAGAACTTGTGACTGGATATATGCTTTTCCTAGAGAGTCAATAAATTATCTTTATCTTAGGAAAGACATATCATGAACACCTAGATTAGTCTTACGGATATAATTACTTCTGAAATAAAATTTAAATTTCGAATTGTAAAGAAGATGATTTATAGTTTGTGGATATTCAGGAGACTGTTTTTATGTTTTTGTTTTTTTCTACTCTCTCAAAAATTCGTCTATCCTTTGGCGGATATGGGTGCATCCTATAGGCTACCTCGACACACAGAGTTGGTTATTGTAATAATAGGTTAGAAGTAGGCTCGGAACAGGAAAACCAGTACATGGCGTCACTCAATAACTTCACTGACCGTTGGATTAAGACATGTAGACAGGTGCAGACTAAATGGTTCATATCTGTTTGATCGTTGTAACCAATCGTTGGAGTCTTAGGGTGACTTTATGCGAAGTTACTCGCTATGCCGTGGGCGTATGAACTTTTTGTTTTACATTAAACCTTAAGTTTCTAACTTTCTCCAAATTTCTCTATTGTCTCGCAGATTTATATATATTTTTTAAAACTGTAGATTGAATACCTAACCTATTATATAGTCATTATTACTGTTGCCATTTTCACTACTCTGGAACCTACCCTGAAAACGTCGACTCACTCTGTTAATGGAGCATAACAACTTGGAGCAATGTACTCATGTGACAATTCATATTTCACGCTTAACTAGCTGACTGAACCATTATACATGTCACAGATAACTTTAAGAAGAAGTACTTACTACGTCTAGATAATTCATCCTGAATAATACATATACAGAATTTGTCCCAACATTCATGACTACATTACAGGCCTTAATAAAAAAAGCAATATAAAATGATTATTGCTGATCCAAACCTTATCAAGAAGTTTAGTCTACTAAATAATCCTCGTGTAACTGCTCAAACATTATATAAACTGATGAATCTGTTTGTCCTCAAAGTGTGCAAATGAAAAATGATGTCACTGTTTTGAACTGTTATCTAAATTTTTATTCTGAATCCAAGATTTAATTAAGACTTTTTATCAAGTCTATAGATGATAACAAATCAGAAATAGCTTATTCGATATTTGTATTGTTTGCTCGAAACCAGTTGGGTAGATAGTAATTTTTAATTTGAGTACACAGTTATCCGGTGTACATAAATCTGATCAATAAATAGGTTCCGTTTGTTCTCAGGATTTACTTTTAGGCAAATCATTCGGATATATTCAGTATTTTACGATCATTTAGGTTTCAGTGATACAATATCTGACTCAATTCAGATCGTATGAATGACTGCTGTCGATATATATACTGCCAATCCTCGCATTTTATTATCGACTTAAATCACGTTAGTAATTAATGAGACAATTTATTCAAATACGAGAATGAAATTTAAATACGTATATTTCGATAACAATCATTTTCCGATCTAATTGGCATCAGAATAAAAGGTACCACAAAGGGGTTAACACATCTTGGTCAATAGTCCTTAGAAACTCGTAATCCTAATGAACTAGGCACTGGGTGCACACAAGCTCTAAATTCAGTCAGTAAACTCATAATTAAAACTTGTAATTTTTTCTTCTTTTAGTAACTGGTGCCATAGGATTAACCATCTTTTGTTCTTCTGCACTTATTTTTTGGTATGGCATTAAATTAATGATTGACGAAAACTATAATGCCGGATCTGTAATACTGGTATGTTACAATTTTCCAAAGCCATTGGTTATCGTTATATTCTTCATGGTGATTCATTTCAACAATAAGAAGGTAAAACTTCTAAACTTAAAACCTACGTCTATCCTGATTGTTTGATTCCCGCGTTAGATAATAACGGGAGTCATTCAGGACGTAACATATGGATTATCACACTGATTTCCATCTAACCCAACTATGAAAACTGATTTGAAACACATTTGAAATTTCGAAATTCACTCAAATGTTTTCAAAACTAAAACTGAAACATTTTGTTAAACATTAAACACCTTTGTGTGTGTTATTTATGGAATTGTTTGAAAACCAACTTAAATCCCAAATCATCCAGGCAAAATATTTTAGATGTAAGGCATTTTTTTTAGAAATTAAACAGTTTTACAATAAGTAAATGAACGTTATAGAATTTGACGACAGTTAGCCTCACGTAAATATAATTAAGGCTCTGAAATTCCCAAATAGAAAAGGTACATTACATTATTTTATTTTATTATGTTGATTCGAAGTCTGAATCTGAATTGAGTCAGATATTGTATCACTGAAACCTAAATGATCGTAAAATACTGAATATATCCGAATGATTTGCCTAAAAGTAAATCCTGAGAACAAACGGAACCTATTTATTGATCAGATTTATGTACACCGGATAACTGTGTACTCAAATTAAAAATTACTATCTACCCAACTGGTTTCGAGCAAACAATACAAATATCGAATAAGCTATTTCTGATTTGTTATCATCTATAGACTTGATAAAAAGTCTTAATTAAATCTTAATTAAATCTTAATTAAATCTGTGATTAGACCCCTAGTCGATATCCGAAAGAATACAAGGCACATCATATTATGAAAATTGTGTGATGATGGGTTTAAACACACACTTTAGAGTGAGGTCAAACAGTGAAAGCTATTGCAAACAATTTATGAATCAAATAAAAATACATGTTTAAAAATGACGTTTCGAATGTTTATTGTATGTACATTTTCATGAATGATGAAACAGTGATTTCAAAGGAGAGCATTAGCAGTTCCCACTTTTTAATTATTCTGCTTTTTCAGATATTCATTAATGTTCTTTTGGGAAGTATTTTTCTGGGTAACGCTCTACCATGTTTTCAATATTTTATGAATGCACAGGCATCAGCCGCTGAAATTTATGGTACTATTGAGCGTGTGAGTTTGTCTTCCAACCTTTCTTACAAAGCCGTTATAATCAAACCTCTCACAATCTCAAGGCTAAATTAATAAGTGAAAAAATAGGTTCTGAGACAGACCATAATCATGTTGCACATTTGCTAGAAAAAATATAAATTGCACATTAATTAGTCATATCCCTGAACCTTTACGAATCAAGATCATAATTTTTACTGTCCCGATCGTAGCTGTTACCCTGACATAATGATCGAGCTTGACTATCGTGATGACTCGACTGGGCTGTACTGGCCGGAACACATTTCTTAGGTCCTATCTCGCCATGGAAATTAGCTGAAGAACAAGGCAAACTAAAGGCTTCAAATTAAGGTCAGAGGACGAAGTCGTACTGCTAACTGTAGAGGGACGTGACTGCGGTAAGGTATTTCTCTCAGACAACCATCATCTGCCGCAATCCTTCCTTCTCAAAAAAAGAGGAGTGGGTTAGAAAAGGTCAACCTTTAAATTTTCTCACCTAGCCTAACTCAACAGGTTCCTGTCTCCAATGGAAAGGGCCTTCAAAGTACGGAACAAGCACATTGAAAACTTTTCAATTAAAAGGACGTGTGTGATCAACCTCAAGCAGTTGTCTCTTGAGTTCTGGGTTCACGTTCCCGGGCAATCAAGACCACCGCTAACCAGATTTTCGTTTGAGGTCCCTGAGGAAGGAATATTTTTTCATAGTATGGGCAGTTGGAAATTGACAGTTGCTCTCATACCATTATCACTCATGACGATCTTGTTCACGATCAACTTACTTCCTTATTTCCTGATAGTTCACAAACCTTCGCTACTAGACCCTCCAGTATCTTTTTATCGCTAAGCACTACTAATGCTAGTGATTCGAATTCATCAAATGTTATTCCTGGTTTCTTGAAATCATGCACTAAACCACATGTTTCTGCTTTCAATTTCGAACCTTGTGTCAGATAGGATGACAAGCTTCCTTATCTTGGAAGGACTCTCAGATCTCGCGTTATCGATGTATGTTGTGTTTCTGAAGCGCGTATAAACCATCCAAGTATGGTCATTCATTTGATCCCATGTTGTCAGTATGAAGAATCAGCGCGACTTACACTCCGTGTATCTGGAGACCCTCCTGCTACTTCCAACGACCCCACTGGTGTCGGTGTAGCATTGCACTCAAAGGCAAAACAGACTCTACTTGACTGGATTTTAATGGACATTCTCGTGCCTGCTGTAAGAACTCGGAAATATAAAGATAAACACCGTCGCCTCTTCGTTGTCCCTGCGTTAATTCAACCAGCTGATTGATATCCACTTCAAAGTAGCTTGGAATGGCATCCAAACAGCTATGGAAACAACAGTGACATCTGTTAGTAACCTAAATTAAAAGATGATGAGAAATCAGTGGATTTTAGCAGCGTACACTGAAATGATAGATACTCAGGAATTCATCCCATATAGTTCCAAACAGAGTTAACTTAAACACAAGATCATAAAATGCCTATGCAGTGATTGTGAACAGTGGTGGGTCATGAAAACAAAATAGTCAGAAAAGTTAGGGACTGAAGGTAACAGTAGAAAACTGTTCAGACCTATCAAGAAAACAAGTTTTAAGAATCCAGCTATCAGTATGACTGTTTCGAAAAAATACAGGACTATAATTCCTCGTCAGTTTGCGAGATTGTATCGATGAGCAGAACAATTAAGGGGAGAGTTCAACTGAATTTCCGCCACATATCAGTTACCTACCATATTCACGCAACCTGAAAAACAAACAGACATAAATCCTCTAACTCTTGGTGAAGTTGACAAGAATGAATGAAATCTAAGGAGAGGGAGAGAGACAGGTCTAGATGAATTCAACCCGCCAATCTGTAAAGATGGAGGTCCAGTTTTATTAGTTAGACTAACTTAGATGGTAGCTAGAATCTGAGAACTGGACGCGATCCCATCTGGCTGGTCTCGATCGCTAATCGTCCTTGTTCACAATAAAATAAAAAGATCATCTTGTGACAATCAGAAAGGAATCAGTTTGACTAGTATGCTGTCTAAAATATTAGCGTCGATAATACCCAGTATTTCAACTAGAGCTCTTGAAGAGTAAACCTATGATTGATATGGTAGTAAATCAACCTCGACTGAGGTGGTTGGGACATGGGTTAAGTATGCCTATCCACCTCCTACCTCGACCAGTAATACAATTTAGCAGTTTAGAACAGTTCAAATTTTTCAATTGATTTGTAGGAAAATTTTATCTCAGTTTTGCAGCGAAAATTTCAACTTATTAAGAAGCAGTAATTACTCATACAGTCATGACTTGAAAAAGATTGTAAATATATTAGAATAAAAAACTTGTTGCAAATGTTTAGATTCCACTGACTGTGTATAACTAGCTAGCAAGAGAGTATATCTTCCTGGGCGAGCTTTATGAAACTCTGGTTTTAAAAAATGGTGTCATGAAATGTGAAAAAGGAGGATAAATTTTTCTCTGGACCTCGTTGAAACAGCAAATCAACTCACCACTCTTATATTGCTACTACTTCCTCATGTATGCATTGAAATTTGAGATTTGACTCGAAGCGTTTATTATATAATTTACTAGTGGAAATCAAACAACTGATCTTCGGATTGAATTTATTGGTACTTGTTGTAAAGTCAATAACTGATGTGTAGCTATTGTTCTTATTTTAGACCCCTCAAATTGATAAAGACCGACAAGGAAATCTTATTCCAAACTTTTCTGGAAATGTTGCATTCAAAAATGTTTCTTTCGTATATCCAAGCAGACCAGATATCACTGTGAGTAAATCAGAATTCGTCTCATTATGTATCATTTTCATAGTTTACAGAATCATTGTGAAGTAAATTCTCGTAAAACGCGATAATCGTTAGAAATTTAATTTCCCACATGCTATGACAATTTTTAGTCCCAGGGAATATATGCAAACATAAATTCACCAACGGGCTTCTTCATAAGATTTTTGCCTAAATCACAATTTTTGCACATTAAAGTAACTGTGTACATCGTTTGATTATTTTTCTGCTAAATTGTTATGCAGTTAAATTTCCATGGAGTTCTATTTGTAGATGCTATCGTTTACAGCGAAATTTTTGATTTTCGTATCACTGAATAATCCACCAATATTTACCGTTTGATTCCATACTGTCTAGTGAAAATCCCACATAGAATTGCAAAGAGAGAAGCATTAATCCCATGACGTTATAAGTTTAAAATAAAGTTGAACATTTGATTTACTGGTTACTGCATTTCCTGTCTTGGTACCTTTTTTTTCTACTTTGTAGATTTTAAAGGATTTTAGTCTGACGATCAAAAGTGGACAAACTATAGCTTTAGTTGGACCGAGCGGTTCAGGAAAAAGTACCATTATTCACATGCTGCAAAGATTTTATGATCCTGTAAGCGGCGAGGTATGTTCTTCCCGAGATGTTCTGTTCAGATCAACCTTGTGTCAATGCATGTGTTTGAATTCTTACAGAAAGTATGGCTGAGTTATGTCTATACTGGAGTAACCTAAGTGACCTTTTAAATCTGTGTTGTTTAGTGTCGTTGATGTAATGGAACGATAGGTTGTAGAGATGTGAATCAGATGAATTATAAGTGATAACTGTTCATAATCTCCTTGAAATGTAATTGAAGACTGGTTCAGTTAAATTTTTATCTATCAACGGTTAAGAGCTAACTAGTAGTCTTGTTAACAAATCACAAACATTTGTTCACCTTGTTCAGTTTTTAAATGCCAGGTTACACTTCCACACTTCTTTAGGTTACATAATTTCATTTCATATTTGCCAATTAAGGTACTAATTGAAGACGAGAATATCAAGAATCTGGATCTGAAAGCTTATCGTAATCAGATAGGCTGTGTGCAACAAGAACCAATACTTTTCGAAGGAACTATCAGTGATAACATAAGGTTAGGAAAACTTGATGCAACTCAAGATGAGATAGAAGAAGCTGCGAAGCTTGCTAATGCTCACGATTTTATTCAACAACTTCCAGATGTAAGTCATCTATTCATTGTTGAAAGTAAAGCTGTTTATTATGAGCGACATTTTCTACTTAACTGAAAGTCAAAATGTTATATTATATTGTGAATCCAGACATACGACACTTTTGTGGGTGAACGAGGTGGCGGAATGTCAGGTGGTCAAAAGCAACGTATAGCGATTGCTCGAGCTCTGATTAGAAAACCAAAGTTGCTCCTACTGGACGAAGCGACGTCAGCTCTCGACACAAAATCAGAACGTGTAGTTCAAGTGGCTTTGGACAAAGCGAGTGAGGGGAGAACAGTCGTGGTTGTTGCCCATCGTCTTACAACAGTTCGTAACGCAAATCTAATAATCGTTCTTGACAAGGGAGTAGTTCGAGAGTCTGGGACCCATGAAGAACTTGTGGCTCAAAACGGTCTTTATGCAGCAATGCTTAGTAATCAGGTATTTTGACTTTTAGAATATGCATTTACATCAAGTTTTGATATTTTTGATATTGGTTTATTCCACAGCAATCTAATAGACTGCTATATATTCCATCATAAATTTGTAAATAGCTGTCTGAAATGTATTCTCAAGAAAATGAGTGATTGGTTGTTACTATTTCATATATTTTTTGACTGGCTGATTTCTTTTCAAAAGACAATTTGCGAATTTTAATAGTTGAATTCATGATCTGATCTAAACTAGAACACCACTGAAATCCTAGGAGCGCTGGACGGCCATCTCATCCTAATTTGGGACTCCCCAACATCCACGATCCAGCACTCGCAACTCGAACCCAGCACCTCTAGTCTAAAATTTGATCAAAAAATATATATAGGAAATTTTCAGTAGCTATCAAACTGAGGTCACAGACTTTATTTAATTTACAAACTAGAGAGTAAATTATGTTCATTTACATCAATGTTTCTTCCGGTAGCCTTATAGTAATTTACAGATCATAAAAAGCATTTAGGCAATAATCAATCATATTTGTAGTTTTTTTGCAATCACATGGATTGAATTCCTGAATTTCATTTACCAATTAAACTTACAGAGTGTTTTTTAGGCTTTGAATTAATTATACCAACAGTGTTGCAGCTTACGTTTCACTTACACTGTACTGATTGAAGCATTTATGTTGTTTTAATAAGACCTTATTCACTGTCATTTAGGGAATAAGTGAGAAAAGTGCAAATGAAAATGATGAGTTATCTGATGAAGAACAGATTAGAAATTTAGAAAATGAGACACAGACTTCGAACAAATTGGACGGTGTGTGGACAATTGGAGATGATCAAGAAGTAAGCAGATTTATAATGTTTAAATCTTTGTAATGTCAATTCTGATGTAATAGGAAAGACTTGCCCAAACTTAAGACTTTTCTTCAGTCTAATGCATCATCCCACTTATTGTTTAATTTGACTGATAGATAGCTAAGAAAAATTTTATTTGAATGCATTTCATTTCGTGTACTCTAATTTTTTCACATACACACTGATTTCTATGAATATATAAGATGTTTTGCAATGTAATTAGGTGTGTACGATGTATGAAATCATTCAGTTCACTAGTGTAAAATTAGTTATAAATACTTTACCTATTCCTACTGATCCCGCCTTCCGGGTGATAAATGGACAGAATAATATCAGGATTTTATGTTAAACAGAAGCGGCCTCCATTCATCATCTGGACCCCAATTTCTACGTACTCAAAGAACTTGTTGTTTATCTGGAACTGATATGGTAATCGTTTTGCTGATAACTTACCCTTCAAAGTGTTATATCTAGAGCTTCGATTCGTGCCATGCCGCGTATTACAAGACTACTTGATCGACTGAACCCGCAACGTCGCAAGAGAGAAGACAAAAGACTAGTAATTAGGGATGTTATTCCCAACACAGTGTCAATTATGGTACAAAACTGTCAGGTATTTATAGTTTTTAGTAAAAACGAAATCATCATTATAGTTATCCAACCCGCACACAGGGGGTTACTAGCATTTGTCCAATAGGGAAGCTACACGTAGTGATTCTGGAATAATCTACCAAAAGCTGATTGGATGGAATATGTTCGGCTTCTTTTGGGCTTCTTAGAGCTTCCTCAAGTTCACCTGTGTATCGTCCTCACACAAATTATTTGAGATGCATTTTGTTTGTTTGACTTCATCTTTGCTTATTCACAATAACAATTTCATATTTTCATTCCAAAATTATAGCCATTACATATGAAGTCTTATCATTTTGACATTACTCAATACAATTTTTGTCGTCTTGTCTATTCAGTTATCCGTTACTTTTCACACCCTCTTCAACTACTGCATTCATTATTATTTTGATAATGACTATCACTTTCATCATTCTGTTCATCGTAAAAATAACAATCCTTACATGTTTCTTTTACTCAACTATGGTATACTCTCTCTTTCGCTTAATCTACTTCACCAATAAACTGATCTTATATGGATGTGGAAGGGATTTATAATTGTTACTCCTGAACTAAATGACTTCACCACGCGTCACACACATAATTGCATTGCAAAACATTTTAATTTTTTACAAATCAGTGTGTACGTGCAAGAATAAGAGCTCACAAAATGAAGTGGATTCAATGCATAACGGAATGCTTGTTGTTCTTGCTTTGGAAAGCTTATCATGGGCATTAACTGCATGAAATGATTTAAATATCTATCGAGTTACGAAGGATTTCAAAACAGTTATTTAGATAAATCTTTGTGTATTCATACATGCACACGAAACACGTACTTAAATACTTTATTTCATTATCGGTGAAAAACGAAAGCTGATCTATTTTCCTGTGATTTAAGAGGTAGGGAATAATTACGTATTACGTTTCTATGGAGGTAGAAGTATGACAGAACTACTTGGCTGATTCGATATTTTGATAAATAACTTTTGCGTTTCCTCAAACGGTTTATCACTAAAAGTCTAACAGCAGTAGGAAGCACCGTAACTACCTACAAACAGTAAAATCTTGTTGAAAAATTATCTGTCTTTGTACTGACTTATCTGTGTGACAAATAATTGAGGTATTGAGTATTGTTTTCTGCTAAGTCACTAAGGATGCGATCCAGATTTCATTATGTTAGTGAGTATGACTTGCCTTAATGATGTTGACAACATAATTTTATTTTTCTCTTTAAAGGAATAATCTTTAACCATTTGTCAATTTGTGACAACTGCCTCGAAAAGTTCTACACTTCAATGTTAATTTAAATCCTAGATAAGATATCAGCTGTCTGTATAGCTAATCATGAAGAGAATATCAAGGGATTTCGTCATCATTACACCGTTCTCTATTTTGTAATAGTTCCGCAGCAGTATTCGGTCACTAAAAAAAGCTTTGACACTATTCAACTATCTCAGTCAAATAAAATCACTTTAACAACGTAAATAGTTGAAGAATTGTGAACATGATCTCTTAGTTGTAACTTACAGCTAGTGGATGAATTCCATATTTAGTCAATAAATTATTCTGGTAAATCGGCAAGGAAAATTTAGACAAGGTTGGATCAATAAAGATATCCAAAACTAATTACAGTAATAGTGTATTTTGGAGCTTCATTATGAATTATGCTTTTTAAATCACCATAATTGTCATAACATTTATATGTATTTAGAACATATCTGAAAGTACTGGAACGTTGCCCCGTAGAAGTATGTCAATTACTTCAGCATCACAAATCGCACGGGCTAAGGTATGTTTACAATCTGAAACAGGTATTCCGATGAGTAAAATCTTTCAAGACTTTCATAGATCGCTCCTTGGAAATTTTTAATGTTTACAAAATACCCCTAATCTGTTTCATATCTCATCACAAATAACCATCATCTTTTGACTCTAAGGTATTAAGTTCTAACTTAGATAGGATTGTATTGATGATTTGCACTATTTAGCTATATCAACAGTATCTATATATATTTAGTCAATATAAAGTAAAGTTTTTCTTTAATGTTAATTTATGTTATGACAAGCAGTGACTTAGTCGTGTAGACCATCAACGTTGATGGTCTATGTTGAGTGATTGGAGGCCTACTCGAGTTAGACGTGAACGGTCTAACGAACAAGCCAACTTCGAAGTCATACCTCGCGATCAGCACCTTACGTGAATTGCCCCATCGACGCATCAAGGAACCATGGATGTTCTGAAGACTGTACAACACAAAGGACGTTATTACAGGAATATATTAGTTAAACTAGATACAAGCCAAAGTCGAACCACTGCCGCATGGGCCAGTCCATGGAGTATGATTAACTGATGCGCACTGATTGTCCTTGACCTTGACGATGATCTGTTCGATATTTACTGACCCAGCTGACGGATGGTGTGGCTAGAGTTCAGTCACATTTCACTGGCCCTACAGTCGTTTAAAGTGTGAATAACATACGAATCTGATTGTTTTCCAATCTTTCGTGGCATGTAGTCACATTTTAAATAGAAGTGATTGTATGACTAAGTCAATGAATTATATTTTTTTGGTTATATATTGTTAATTGTATAATGTTGTAAATATATGTTAACACAGTAAGTTATTAATTAATAAATATTAAATCCTACTAAGCTTAATTTTAAGAAATCTGATTGTTAATAAATCATACAAAAGGTGGATTATTACTACATCATTTTGATTTATTTCCAGGGTCAAATAAAACAGTTTTTGCTTCTTTTTACTCATAGTAAGATTCGGGATCCCAAGTCAGATAAGCATGTCCACTGACAGAACAGTGACAGGCATAACAATTTAAATATAAATTTTGATTTTTGGATGAAATTGACAGAAATCTTTTTGTAATAAAACTAATAATAGCTTACAATCAGCTGTCTCTCTATGACTGACTACAAAACAGTAAAGACAAAAAACGATAAATCGTCACAATTTAGCATTCGAAATGACCATAGCATCACAAAATAATTATTTAACCAATATCATTCATTGGCTGATAAATCAGTTGCTGAAGGGGTATTTAGTAATATCTTACAGTGATTTATTGAAGGATTGATTGACTTTGCTGAAGAAGTGTTATGTTGAAATGTCCCACAGGTACTAAGGGTTTCATGTGGTTACAAACTCTTAACGTCACATCTTAGATGATATTCTATTTTTCGTTTTGCTTCCTAACTCTTTATTTTTAAAATTAATAGCCAAATCAGAGTATACTTTATTTGTCAGTTGATGATAGTTTTGGAGCACTTAACAATCATACATAACTAACAGCTAATATAATATTGAAAAGAGCACTTTATTCTGAGTTCGCCACGTTTCAGCACCGTGTATTAGGTTTCTCTTAACATTCCTATTGAAAGTTATGACTTTGATGTTGGCTGACTGTTATTTTGAGTTCTCGATGTTCTTCAATTGTAGGAATCCTTCACTTGCTTTGCCAATCCGTGCCTTTACATCTGCATCAGACCCTCTTTATTTATCAATGACGTTGCCCTAATATGTAAAAATTTCCACTTCTTCCATAGCTTTTCCATCAACTGTGATTGGGTTGATGCCCCCTCTGTTGCATTTTCGCCGACTGCAGCTGAGACTGCTGCTACGTTGTCTGTCTTTGCCTGCATTCGTTGTCGTGTATGGGACAGAACTTCTGATGAATACTTGGATGTAAATATTTAAATATATTTTAGTTAAATATCTCGTGAAATATTGATAAGCCAATAATTAATGACGAGTTTACTGTCACTTTTATTGTTTGTTTCCACAGCTGAAAAAAGCAAAGAAGTCTCCAACATTAAGAGTTTTACAACTTAACAAACCTGAATTGCCGTTAATAATCATAGGTTGCTTCTGTTGTCTAATAAATGGAACTGCTCAACCAGCATTTGCACTTCTATACACCGAAGTGTATGATGTAAGTTCATGGTATACAGTTTGACACAGTTATTTGTTTTGACAAATCTAAATAGTGCAATGAAAAGATGGTGTTTATCCAGAACTATGATATCTTAGACCAATATATTTCGAATAATATGACCACACATTTACTTCTTAAGACTATTGTAAGTAAGAAGTAAAAGTAGATTAGTCAAACTGGAAGACATGAAAAAATAAAGATAATAAGGAGAACGCAAAATAATAAATTTACATAACTTGAATAGGTTCAAGGTGAAACCAAACTGATTACATCAAAAGATTCTAAATCTTCATATGGTTAAGTTTTCAATAAACCTTAGAATAAACCCCTCAACACTGATTTGATATCAACCCTATGAGCAGTCTTAACCAAATATTCGGTTGTTGAGGTAGATATCCACTTATCCTGTGTACACATATGGCCATTGGAATTCATGAGTTTATACAAACACTCGTGTATGATCAGTCATCCTCACATGTGAATCACTATTGCGCCTTCCTATGTATGCGTGTTCACATATACACAAACTAGTGAATAGAATAAGATGTGAAACGGTCGTTTTTATTAAAACTTAGATTTTCAGTGTAGCCTAGACTTTTGCTTTTCAGTAATATGGTTTAACCAAATTAAATAAATTAAGTAAGCCTTTTGCTGAACCTGTTCGGCATACAGATAGTGTTATCTTCAACCATAATAACTCGCATATATATTTCAAATATATCTTCAAACATATATAAATACGCCTAATGGAATTCATGTGACAGCCTACTCATTCGACCTCATATTTGCTTAGCAAATTAAACATATCAACTACTCTCACTCCCCTCTGTGCTTTTTGATCTCTTGATTTAGGATGTTCATTTCTGACCGCTTGGTTCCTACTAACGAGAATCACACACCTTTGGAGAATTAGAGTGACTAGGGTTGATTGGTTGTTCAGTATATTAAGTATAGAATTAATCATAAAGGTATTCGCAACAGATGAGTTGTCCTGACAAATGTATGATTGGATTGATCGAAGTGTTTTGAGCTAAAATATCATATGGTTCTAATGGACATCGTCTTCTCATTGCATCATTCAAGTTCATTTTTAAATAGGTTGTTGTAGTATAACCAATTATTAGTAACGGTTTTAAGTGTCCTGTTTAAGTTATTGCCTACTGAACTTTGATTAGTCTTTTGTCGGCATATCTGCACCTGTGTAGTGTAAACATCATTCGATTTGAATATTAACATTGGAATCTAGGTGTATTCAGCTGACGAATGTTAGGACGAAACATACCTCTTGGTATTTCACTTTTAGACACAGATTAACGGTTTTAAGAATGCTAATTTTACTTTAAGGGTTTAAATTATCCCATTATTGGTATTTTTACCGAAATTCGGTCAGCCTTGGTAGGCCTATATACATCCCGTGCGGATTATCTCGATATACATTTTATGAAACACACTTATGTATGATAGATAGAATGTGACTAGCAGTGTAATCAAGCCTGTCCTATTTGATACTCGTTGGTTGAACGTACCTGCATTCCACAGCTTACTGCGAAATATCCAGACAGCGGGTCTCAAATATGAAGAAACGCACGTCTTAGATTCCACTACTAAACATATCGAATCTATTCTACAGAGAGGTTATTGAAACAGTTTACGAAAAAAAATGATTAAGACTTTTTATCCCTACATACTTTTATTCTTAAACTATGAGGTATATACAACAGGTTATGCTTTTAAAATTTCATCATATCACATCTAATTGTTATGCCAAGAGACTACTATGTAATAAAAAAACTCACGTTTCACTCACTTGTAAACCAGTATACACATACTTACAGAGAATGATATATTTGAGCAACATTCCATAATTTTCTTTCCATATTTCAGTGTGTTCAATTTAGATAACAAATCTCACTTATCACATGTTCCAGTGTATTATTTCAAAAACCTAATTTTGAATCGAATTAGTATTAGTAAATAGTTTATTAATTTACGATTATACTAAATATTTTATCCACCAACTTTATAGATTTTTATCTTTTACTTATTTTTTTGGTCATTTTATTCTAAAAGAAGTGAAGTGAAAACAGTGAATCTTCAGGAAAACTTCAGTCATAGATATTAATTTTAACGCAGTTTTAGATTTTACTTATTCACTTAAGTCTTTATTTAATAATAAAAACTAAATTTGAAAATCCAAGATATTTGACTATCTTTAGTCTAGGAGTCCACTCTATACTTCTCTATATTATGAAACCTGTTGGTCGATGGGTGATACATAAGTGTTTGAATTTTGACGTTCTTGGTAAATTACATCCACTCGATGGAGTGATTGAATGTTTACTGCTGAATTTATATGTTTCTAGACTAGCAGGACCGATTAATTGATGATAACATCTCCCAAGCACAAATAAAGTGACAGGATTATACACTGAATGTTTTCAGTCTTCATCTACTATGGTGAACAATTGTGGCTGGAATGAGATTAGGTTGAAGGAGTGTTACGTTTAATATCGATAATTATGGTGTGCTGGACTACAATCTTATTGAATGGTAAGATAAGTACTGTAATCATGCTATACTCTTCTCTGATGGAGTCTTCTTAATAATGCAGATATGAAAATTTGAAACCTGTTACACTAAAGCACATAAACTTAGTTTACAAAATCAATGGATTTTTATTCTTATGTCTGTCAAAGATTCAGTTTTCTTTTGAGAATACTAATCAATAATATTACTTGAGCATCGGAAATCGAAGAATGACTTTGAATATGTGGAATAACTAACATTTTTGATAAACTCATGTTTTCTCTACAATTGCAAATTGAATTATTATAACAAAGATGAAAATATGAGTAATCGAAAATTAAAGATATTTAGATTATTTATAATTCATTTTTATATAACGTGATTTGATCAATTTTAGAGTAATATAAGATAAAACTTTAACCATCACTACAGTTGAAGCACAAATTCATGACATAGTGATGAAAGCAGAGTTGTATACTTCATATACTTAGCAGCTTTAAAATAAGTCATATAGACCATGAACTGAATAAACCTATTAGTCTCGTGTTTTAAATCCATATACGGTTCTTAGAGTTAGTTTTTATTTAAAATACCTTTGTTATAGAAATCTAAATCATATTATATATATATATATATACCATAATTGTGACATTTTTAAAATTCTTTCAGATATTCACTTTGAGATCAAATCCTGATTTAATGTCCAGCCGAATCAGTCTTATAAGTGGAATGATGGTGTTAATCGGAGTTTTGCGTTTCACTGCTTCTCTTTGTCAGGTATTAAATAAATGACTGTTTTCCATTTGTAATTTTGCTTACTAAATTATTCTTTTCTTGTAAGAAATTAAAAAATTTCACAATTCCAGTCCTGTATATCTCTGACGAATTTTCATACCTTTTTAGCGTGTTTTAAATTAACATAAATTTCATTAAGTAAATCAAAGAATATTCGAAAGTGAATTAACTTTAGGCAACAATTTTCTGAAATTCGTTTAGTATTGTTTGTTTGAATCTTCCCATTGATGTTTAAGACTGCACATATGCCAATAAGAAACTGATCAGTTGCAGCCCTAAACATCAATCGGAAGATTCAAACAAACAGTACTAAATGAATTTAAACTTCATCCCATTGCACAAGCAATTGACTATCAGGACTGAGTGGCCGAGTGGATAACGCGATGGCGTTTGAAGCGAGGGTACTGGGTTCGAGTCCCAGAATGAACATCAACTCCCAGATGCAGGTACATCTAGCTGACGAGTCCCAAATAGGACGAAACGGGCGTCCTGGATTCCACTGCTAGCCACTATCCATCTTTGCTTAACAATTTTCTGACATTAAATTTATTTCAAGTAGTATCTGCTGAACTATTCAGTCAAATATATAATACTCTTTAATGACATATTGGAAGTTACTTTATGTAGTAACGTAATAGTTAGTGAAATTTTATTTCAACTATAATCTGTTCATTCAAATTTGACGAAAATATTTTATGAAATGGTAAATTAGCTTCATAAATTGATTAAACGAATATCATGTAAATTTCCAACTTTTTTATGGAGTTTGAAACTAGATGATTTAACTCTTAAAAGTTGTAATGTTTTTATCTCTACATAGATGAAGGTTGTTTCGTAGACGATGTGGTACAGAATATTGAAAAATATGACTTTTTGAAAGATAACAATTTGGTCAAAGTTTTTTCAAAACATAATACTACTAACTAGAAGTGTTACCATTCAAATAAATGAATTCAACTGTCATTATTATCAGAATGATGGGTTTGTGGAGATTGTAGCACTTGCAATGGTTGAACTCGTGAGTCGATCTAAGTTAGACCACCACTGAAAAACTAGAAGCCCTGGAAGGCCGTTTCGTCAAAGAATAAGACTTTTCAGCGGTGCGCAACCACGATATCGCATGCTTGACTCGAACACAGGACCTTTGGTCTCGTTCACGAAAACTTAACCTCTAGACTGCTGAGCCGGCGTCCAACGGTATTAATATCGAATTTCAATCGATCCATGATCTTGTGCAATAATTCATCAACTGTCTGAGGTAGTTACTATTGGGGCGATTGTGAAAATTTCTTGCAATAGACATGACAAGCTCAGGAAACATTAAAAAGCATTTTGTCCAATCAGCGTTCGACTAGAAGTTTTCCTTGGAAAATCACGAAAATGAAAAGTCACATGTAGAGGTTCTGATTGGCTGATTACCACACTGTTACTATGTTTAGTAGCATCTCAGAATTTTCAGGAAAACCTAAGGATTTCTATAATACTATAAAAACCCTATATTTTCTGTACATAAACGAACCTTTGGGGTAAAGTGTTTCTCGTATATTTTGCTCCTTTTCTCTCGTGTTCAAGTCGCTGTGTGGTTCTAGCTTGGGGGTTATGAAACTAGCTTAGTATCTGAGTATAACGTTCAATTAAAGACTTATCAGCTACCTGTCTCTACCTGACACGGATTAGACTTTACTAATCCCGGCTTCTCGCTAGAACTCCAAGAGTTACGTCTTGAAGCTAGTCACTAGTGAGCACATGATGGTTATTATCAGATTATTATAGTGAATCTATTGATGCTAGATGTTATCACTGTTGGATGCCGGCTCAGTAATCTAAAGTTCAGCGTTCACATGCGAGACCGCAGGTCCAGTGCTTTCACGTTTTCAATGATTGTCTAGCTTAGATCAACGAATGAGTTTAACTGTAATTATTTATAAGTTTGTTTAAGATCATTTCAAAAAATGTGATCATAAAATTATGATTATCAAGTAAAAATGAAAGGAAAGAATGACAATTATGAGAATATGTTGTCTTCGTATAAACCAATAAATTCAATGTTATCATCTAAAAAAAATCCGATAAATTTTATGCATTCAAATGAATGATGATTAAATAAAGTTTATATAATTCACAACAGAATAATGATTTTTAGGAAGTCTGATGCTACCAGTTTATGAAAGTAAATTTTGTTAAATATTCAAGATGAACTATTTTATAACAATTTTTTGGACAAATGCACTGCTGAGGAGTCCCACAATAGGCCGAAACGGCCGTCCAGTGCTTCCAGGATTTCCATCGTGGTCTAGCTTCAATTGATTCATGATCTCAACTATTGAAATTACTATTATTATATAGGCAAATGCCCTTCTCATATTATTCAACATACGCTCACTAGTGACTGGCTTCAAGAGGTATTTCCTGGAGTTCTAGTGAGAAGCAGTGACCAGTGGAGTTGAAGCAGGTGTGTTGTGAGAGAGTAACTCATTGAAGACAATGGTGGATGTGTCGCTCGATTTTGTGAATTGGTCGAAGTTAGACAATGACACCATCAGATGCCAGCTCAGTGGTCTAGTGGTTAAGCGCTTGCGCACGAGACTGGTAGGTCCAGGGTTCGAATTTCGCGAGGCGCGTTTGTGGATGCGCACCGCTGATGAGCTTCACAATAGGACGAAACTGCCATCCAGTGCTTCCAGGTTTTCGATGGTGGTCTAGCTTCAAATGATTAATGATCTCAACTATTGAAATTACTATAATATCCACAAAACCCCTTCTCTTGTTAAGTGGAATAATAAAATTTCAATTACATAATGTATATGAATATCAAAAATAATGACTTATCAGATCATTAAATACTTTCTCGTTTCTTAAGAAACTGTTTTTATATTCTACCATCAAAAATAAGTAATACTTAAATTCAATAATTTATTATTCGATTTTGTTTTAGGGATTTCTTTTAGGGAAATCAGGTGAAAAATTAATCAAACGTATACGTTCTATGGTTTTTGAAGCTATGCTACGTCAAGTAAGTTGCAAACAACTTGATAGTGATTTATGTTATTAATATTAAACTTATGTGAAAACATTTTATAAACACTCCATTATTTAAAACAATTTAGGAAATTGCATGGTTTGATGAACCAGAAAATCAAGCAGGTGCACTGACTGCTAAACTTGCTACGGAAGCTACAAAAATGGCAATGATTTCTGGTGCACAAATGGGTTTTATCGTAGAAGCTTTAGCACTGATAATTATGTCGCTTGTGATAGCATTCATCTACAGTTGGCAGTTAACTTTGGTTGTGTTAGCATTTTATCCAATTATCGTCATTGGTGGATTTTTACAGGTAACACAATTTATTTCACAATAATTTCTTAAACCGGATTTTCACTTTTAAATACGAAATCATTGTAACCATTACTGAGGTACATATCCTTGAAATGATTGTATTAAAATAAGGTCAAAGGTTTTGTAGGAGCTTGATTAGGTAATGCCTTATTTATCTGAATTATTTAGTCAGTCAGTCAGTCAGTCACAATCAGTGTTGACAATGACACAGTTATGCGTACGCATAAGTTAACATTATTGCACCTACATAGAGAAATGAAATTAACGTAACGAATAACAAAGTAGTCATAATAATTGTGGTAACAAATATAAACCCGTTATTTCAAACTAAAAATAGTTTATTCATTTGCTGTTGATTTGGTTATACAAAATGCAAGCCATTCACTTAAATGAAATAACGATATTTTGAGTGTTTGGAGTGAAAGAGATTTTGTATTACTACTTGTCTGACATTTAGATGCGTTCAATGTCAGGAAAAGGAAAGAGTAAAAATGATACTGAATCAATGAGAGTAGCTCAAGAGGCAATCGGCTCAAATCGTACTGTAACTACACATACCCTAGAGGAATACTTTTTCAAACGTTTTAAATCTCATGCTTGTGAAAATCAAAAGTGAGTCTACAAATTAATTTGTGTCGTCTTTAAATGTTTTGTTTATAAAAACAATAGTTTCGTTTCAAAATAAAACTTACAATTTTTTTGGATTATCAAACAGCGAATACTATAGGAGTGAAATGTGAAAAATATAAAAATGAGGTTTTAAAATATAATAACGATCATTTTCACAAGTGTTTCACAAAAAGTGTCCAAACCACTTTTCTAGTTATACAATATGATATCATGTTATTGTTACTTATTCATTAGTGAATAGACAGAGTTGTATATCCAGTGAAATAGTAAAAAAAACAATTTCTCTTTTTTTTCAAGTTAACAGACTATTGTACATAATCTTGCACAGATTCATCTAAATAAAAGAGGAGTATATTGAATAAGTAATTATACTTCAATAATAAAAAAACATTATAAGCAAAGATCAATAGTGGCTAGCAGTGGAATCCAGGACGCGTGTTTCACACTATTCGGGACTCGTCAGCTAGATGTACCTGCATCTGAGAGTTGATGTTCACTCTGGGACTTGAATCCATCGCGTTATCCACTCAGCTACTGAGTCTTGATAGCTACTTGCTTATACAATGGGGTGAAGTTTGAACTCACTTAATATCGTTTGTTTCAATCTTCCCATTGATGTTTCGGACTGCAACTGATCAGTCTCTTATTGTCATATGTACATACTGTGCGTATTACCTGAATATTGCCTTAATTCACAAGTATTATAAGCAAAGATTTACAAAGAGAATCATATTTTACATGAAGTAGAAGAGTTTTTTTGTATTTTTAGGTTTCAGAAAAACAATTCAGTAATCTTTTCAAATTTATTAACATTTTAAAATAGATTTGAAATTAAAAGTAATTTTTTCGACAAGTTCGTATTATTTCATTAATATATCAAATTACTTACTTACTTACGCCTGTTACCCCTCGTGGAGGAACATAGGCCGCCCACTAGCATTCTCCATCCAACCCTGTCCTGGGCAATCCTTTCCAGTGAACATTCATCCTTTTCATATCTGCTTCTATTTCCCGGTGTTCTTTGGCCTTCCTCCGCCTGAAGCTCTTCCAGAGTTACTACCGATCCCAAGCCAGGGTAAAGGAGGAGGGTTGAGCATGGGGTTAGCGACCCCGTCCTGTAGACAAACTAACTCGATATAAAAACTCTAACCAGAAAAAATAATTCAAATCACTAAAACTCTGCCCTGGGAGTTGAAGGAATAATTATGACACCTTGTGATGAAAGCCGAGATTTTTCGGAAGTCACGAGGCCGATGCCCCTTCTAATCTATTAAATTACACATTTTAAATAGTGTTTTGAGAGTTATCCTCCTGATGATGTATTGCGTTTTAAATATTGCAAAGTTGAGAGGTATAGTGTGCTAACTATTTGATATGAATATAGCTAAAACATTTTGGTTACATTATCAGTTAAACAGTATTAAAATTTAAAGTTGTCAGTAGTTATTTTTCAACTTAGATAAGTAAAATTGTTGTTTAAAAATCAAAGACGGTGTCTTACTGATTAAAGTACTCTGCTTTAAACTATAGATGTTAGGTCGGATTCAATCTAGTTTGGCAAATAATATCAAAAAGCTCATAGATAAAACTATGTCCCAGACAGAAAAATCACTAACTATTTATTTGATTAATAAGTCTGACTGAAATTATATTTAGTAGGAATATCGTTATTGCATAAAATACAGGGAAAAAAATGTTCAGATGTCGTTTCACTGTATTTCATATACATTTAACAAGGCAACTTATTCGTCTTCAGTTCCACTGAAAGCTTTGGGTGGATCAGATGCAATATGTTTTGTAGGTCATAAATTTCAAACTATTATCATATCTTAGTATTGTTTGTTTGAATCTTCCCATCGATGTTTTAGGACTGCAACTGGTCAGTCTCTAATTAGCATATGTGCATACTGTGCGTATTGCCTCGATATACCTTAATTCACAAGCATGGTAAGCAGAGATGGATAGTGGCTAGCAGTGGAATCCAGGACGCGCGTTTCGTCCTATTTGGGACTCGTCAGCTATCCGTCTCTGTTTACCATGCTTGTGAATTAAGGTATATCGAGGCAATACGCACAGTATGCACATATGCCAATTAGAAACTGACCAGTTGCAGTCCTAACAAATCGATGGGAAGATTCAAATAAACAATACTAAGTTGAATTTAAACTTCACCCCATTGCACAAGCAAGTGGCTATCAGGACCCAGTGGCCGAGTGGATAACGCGATGGCGTTTGGAGCGAGGGTACTGGGTTCGAGTCCCAGAGTGAACATCAACTCTGAGATGCAGGTACATCCAGCTGACGAGTCCCAAATAGGACGAAACGGGCGTCCTGGATTCCACTGCTAGCCACTATCCATCTTTGCTTATTATTATCATATCTTCTTATCAACTTAAAATGATTTACGTTCATACGAATATATGCGATTCCATAATAAAAGATTAATAGATAAATGGTATTGTGTGAAATCTAGTTTTATCAATGTATGTTGTTGATTTCACGGATCAGAATTGACTACAAATTAAGATGATACAAATGATACAAAATTAATAAAATGATTGAAGTGAAGATGATCAGCAAGATTTGAAACAACAAAGTATGTGAAATCCTTCAGAATAACCATGTTCATAATGGCAAAGAAGTTTCAAGCACACTTTCTTATTGTATATATGAAATAAATCATTTTAAGAAAACCGATTTTGATGTTTGCTATTAAGCTTAGTTAATACTAACATTTATTGTCTTCATTTTTAAGTGTAGTAAACCAAATCATCCATCATTTAAAATTCACAGTTTTCGTTCATTAACTGTACACCAAAGATTAACATGATAAAATATCAGCGATGAAAGCTTGCTTGTATATAGATTTTGATGAAATCCCACTTGATATGAAGAAGATATTTATGCAACTCAATATGTAAAGTAATTATTTTGAAATGAGAATTCATAATGTTTCAGAAATACAATCATTCATCTTTATCAGATTAATGATAATTTTGAATAAGTATTCTTATGCATCAACGTACGTTACAAGTAATGGTTTTCACAGACTAGATGAACTGTATATGCTTTATATTGACTGTAGACACTAGTGAAATCAAACAAGCAATTTAACTTCTGATTTGAGCTTTAACTTCAATTTATCATTGAAACTCTAAGAAGATTCTGCCTTCAGCAAATAATTAAAACCCATGAGTTAATAAAACTCTACAATCCTTAAAAACTAATACTTAAAACTATCGCAAATTAAGCAAAGATGGATAGTGGCTAGCAGTGGAATCCAGGACGCGCGTTTCGTCCTATTTGGGACTCGTCAGCTGGATGTACCTGCATCTCCATCTTTGCTTACAATGTTTGTGAAATAAGGCAATATCGGGGAAATACGCACAGTATGCACATGTGTTAATAAGAGACTGAACAGTTGCAGTCCTAAACATCAATGAAAAGTTTCAAACAAGTAATACTAAGTGAAGTATAGCAAATTAACTTGAAAATCCGTCGATTAAATTATGACTGAGCATCCTATAAATGAATACATACCCAACTACAGACATAGGTTTCAGACTGTAAACTTAATGAAATTTTGAACAACAAAACATCATTGGATAAAAGTTATTTATTTTATTTAGTTAAGCTCTCATTAGTTTTATACAGGTATAGCAGTTATACACTAAATTCTAGTAAAATGCTCTGTATAGTTTATTTTAGCAAAAGTAACCCTAAAGGCATATTACTGATGGGGTTATGAAATGCAAAATGAGACAAATAAAAAACAACTTACAAGATTAATAGGTCAAGTAATAAAGTAACGTCTTAGTTCATAAATGTTGATAGCAACGACTGACTACTAGTAGTTTACTTTTTTTGTTTCTCTTCGGTAGTTCACATATCAAGATTAAGTTTACAGTGGAATGTGAAGTTGGTATAAGGAATGCTTTTCCATCATTTATCAAATTATTATTAAGTTAGCAACAGTTAGAACAATGTTTTACAGACTATTATCTATAAGTTCAAATAATATGATAGAAACAAATTAGTGGCTACTTGAAATTTTGACTGGACATAGAAGTTATGCATTTATGTAGCTCAAAATGCAGGGTGATTATTTTGAGATGATGATTCATTATGTTTACGAATTATGATCACTCATATTTATCAGACAAATAATAATTCTGAGTAGCTATTCTTATACATCAATGTACTTTGTGTGTAATGACTATCACAGGCTAGATGAACTACGTATTCTTTATAGGTACAGTGAACACCACTGACATTGGCAAGTACTTTAGCCTTTTATTTGAAATTTAACTCTGAATTATCAGTGATATTATACCATTTGGTCATTCTGAGTTTCCTTAGATGTTAATTAATTTCACACATTTGAACAATAATTTTAAAATGTTTTATATTTTTTTAAAAGTTAGTAGCTCAAGTACCTAAATGTTTTCTTAGTTTCTCCAGTTAGGCTACTGTACAGATCGACTAAACGTCTACGGTTGATTAGTGTGAACGACTTTAATATACCTACGAAACTAACCTTGCTACTATCACATTGAGATTTGCTGGTTAGATTTACTGCACAACTAAATTATAACGTTGATTGTGCATAATGAGACCAAAACTTTGAAATACTAACTAGTTTTAGGTACTTAAATAAAATCTCTATTTCTTTTTTACGGGTCATTAATCTTTCTACACAAAATTCTAAATGCTGGTGAATTTGTATCAGAGGTTTCCGGATATTTATCCAAACCATTGACACGGACATCTGTGTAACTGAGTTGGATAATTTAAACACTGACTTAATGCAAAAGCTAAGATTTTAGGATAAATATATTTTAGTCTGTGTCATGAACATTAGAAGAGTATAATAAGATCAATTCCAGTCAAATAACAAACATCACAGAGATACATTTAGACAATTAGAACACTTTTATTTATGGGTTTGACGACGTAGAAGTTAGACATTTAAGTCGGGTTTGTATTTCCATGATATGTAAAAGTTATCGCTTTAGTTTATTTAGAAATCATAAATAGTGTCGAACACATAAAGTAGTAGTGTATCGGCTGTTATCTACTGTTTTCATGATGAAACTAGGATTTTAGAAGTATCATACTTGATTTCAAGTCTAACATTTATTAGAGAAAACGAGGATTTGTCAGAGATACTGGTGAATGGATAGCACAGTATATCAGGCTTTTTCTCAAAAAGAGAGTTTGGGATTTTGTTAGGCCCTAAACATTCGGACGAGTTAAGTGACCGCGGACATTTTCAGACATCACTGCGTTCAACGTGTCTACTGACTTATGTAAGTGTGACATAAGAAACTGAATTTTCCCATCTTCTCTTCTCTTTTTCTTGACCTGATCTGATATCTTCCACAGAAAACACTTTTACAAAATGTATGGACGATCTCTCAGTAAGTATGCTGATTTCTACCTCTTAGAATTACCTTGAGATGAATGAATTCTTGTTTTTTATTGAACTACAGTCTGCTTCTAATGGTCTTCAAATTAATCCTTTTATATTTCGTACTGTTAACTTTAACCTGAGACACGAATAGCACTTAAACACCCTGTTGGAATCCTATAAAGCATGTACTATTGGAGATTCTTTGATAATCACAGAGTCAAAGGTCATTTATCTTGCCGTAAGTTTTCACTCTGAACTCTCTTTGTATTCTCATGTTTTGTTGTTATCGAAGAAATTTTTCTATCTGACTTACTACATATAGAGGGTGCATACTTTTGAGATTACTTAACATTTACTTCTACGATTAGCTAATTCTTAGATATTATCTATAATTCTTTTTTGTTCCTCATCATTATTTCCTGCGCTTTTGCAAAAAAACTTTGTTGTATTGCGGAGAGTCCTGAAAGCAGTTGACAGGGTGTGTGGTGAAACTTTTGAAATCATTATTAATATTGTTGTGGGAAGACGTCTAAAATCTTTCAAACCCCTAGCAGGTGTTATCTTATCAGATACTGACCATCAACTTCATTCATATCTCCATGTATATCTTCTAACAGAACGAGACGTCAGTACATTAGAATTAATATACGTAAGCATTGGTACAAAAGCTTTACAATTCTTTATTTAGAAACTATACTATGTAACGAACAGGTTGCTAGAGTTGACTTAGTCAATAACTTGTATTCTTAAACATGTTTCTAATTTAAGAAACTAAATCATTTAATTCCAGTTAGTTTATTTACATAATTTATGTATATATGTATAAAGTTATCAATCGTTTTTTTTCTTTTGTAAAAGAAACTTGTTGGAGTACTTTGAGCTGAGGATTCTGCATTATACCAAAAAAATATTATATTGAATAAAGCCATTGATAATAATAAAATTTAATTTTATACCTTTTATGAAACTTTTTTGTTGTATTTGCGTGGTTGTTATAATATTTATGTGATTGACTATACTTAAACTGTTTATAACTTTAAATTCAACTTCGTATTGTTTGTTTGAATCTTCCCATCGATTTGTGGGAAGATTCAAATAAACAATACTAAGTTGAATTTAAACTTCACCCCATCGCACAAGCAAGTGTCTATCAGGACTCAGCGGCCGAGTGGATAACGCGATGGCTTTTGAAGCGAGGGTACTGGGTTCGAGTCCCAGAGTTAACATCAACTCTGAGATGCAGGTACATCCAGCTGACGAGTCCCAAATAGGACGAAACGCGCGTCCTGGATTCCACTGCTAGCCACTATCCATCTCTGCTAACCATGTTTATAACTTTATTTGGGAATATAGACGACAAAATGTCAAAACTTTTATCTTTTTGTAAATTGAAATCATCGAAATTTAATTTTTTTTTCCTGTAAATCTGCCAGAAAAAGAACCAAAAATATTATTTTTTACTCATTGGTCTATGCACTCGCTGAGGGTGTGCCAATGTTTTCGTTTGCGGCAGCATTCGCTCTAGGTGCATATTTGGTTTCAACAAAAGTAATAACAGTAGTTGCAGTATTCAGGTAAATTTCTTGCTGTAATGAGCTATTAATTATCTATGAATTGATTGATACGTAATATTCCCAGTACATTATAGCTGGTAAGACAGCATATAAAGATAAGTGGACAATTTTTCCATCATGCTACTGGCTAAGATGTGGCTTTACTCTTCAAAGAAATATACATATTCTATCTCACCTTTGTTGATGAATTAGTTGTAGATGTATTCTAGATAAGATTAGCCCATGAAAGCTTCCTACTGCCTCTTTGTTTTCTTATTCATTTTTATCAAGTAATAATTCAAAATATTAAACTGTCGTTGATTCATAAATTTAATCAGTCCTACTAGGACTGTAAATTTCAACTTGCAACAGAATGTAGACTAAACGATATTTTTTTTATCGAAGTATAGTATGAGCAAAACATGATGTACATAGAAGTTTAACTTATACGGGAATGCTACAAAACAGTACGTCAGTCCTCATTTTTTTATTAAATTAGTAAAATAATTAATTCACCCTTAGAAAAAAAGCACTATAAATGACTCCATTTTATAGTTGAAAGCATGAGTCAATTGAAGCTAGACCACCATGGAAAACCTGGAAACACTGCTTGACGGCCGTTTCGTCCTATTATGGGACTCCTCAGCAGTGCGCACTGCTGAGGCCGTCAAGCAGTGTTTCCAGGTTTTCCATGGTGGTCTAGCTTCAATTGACTCATGCTTTCAACTATGAAACATACTAAATCTCAAAAAAACCCCATCTGACTCTATTTTAATAATTTGAAAAGCTAAAACCGTTAACTCATCAATACGACTTTTTACTTCTATCAGTATGATGATCGAATTCCATATATTTCAGTTTATAAATACTGAGTGGTTGTCATTTTCGGATGTTAGATTTCAAATGTAAAAAACTCTGACTATTTTATGAATAGAAAAGTGACTCAGACTTTCTATAAACTTTTGTATTGTTAATTGAATCATTTGCAAATAAGAATGCAATGTAAAATTTCACAGTGATGTTATTTAAAGTGTACGATAAAAATGTATTTATATGCATTAAGGTTTGACATTAAATGTTTCTAGGCAATCATCATGCAACTATAAACAGTGGTTTCGTCTTAGTTAAGACTTTTCAACATTTCGTACGTGAATTGTTGAAGGAAATAAAGCTTAATGATGTATTCAAGTCCAATGCATCGAGTACTACAGTCATGTATACTGCTAGTGATCTTCTGAAAAGCAATTTTCCTCGTAACGAAATGAGATGCATACATTATTTGACATTTTAGAAGTAACCATTATCCTACTACTATGCTTTGATAACAAAGTTATCTAAATCTTATATCTCAGTTTCTTAACAATTTACATCAAATACAATCCACCGCGATACTGATTCAGTTATTTTATTAGCAACATCGTAACTCAATCGACAGAATTTAGTCGGTGTAAGAATTAGAAAATATGATATTGGTTGTAGTTGATTAATTAATTAACTTGTATGATACTACTGTATGTAATAAATAGCAGTTCTGACTACTTCACTCTGTTCAGGATAGTTTTTATGCACAATTACTATTTTTTCGTGAAGATTGATGTTGATTTTGCACTATGATATTGTTTCACATCTAATAAGAAAGCATGGCGAACCTTGTCAATTATTATTTTTTGAATATTTCGAATTTTAACAGAGTTTTTGCAACCATCAGTATGAGTGCACAGTCACTTGGTCGTTCTGCTACGTTAGTTATGGATGCGAAGGAATCAAAACCTGCAGCAAAAAACATTCTAGCACTTTTAGACAGACAATCCCTCATTCCAGTTAACGTGGGGATTGTACCATCAGAAGCATTCAAAGGGAAAGTTTCTTTCCAGCGAGTTTATTTTAAATACTCTTCTCGATCTGAAGGCCGGGTTTTAAAGGTAAACTGTCAAAATAAACTTTTGAATAATGGAAAATTTTCACTCAAATCTCATTATACTCTGTGTAAGTCTCACCTGATTCACCAGAGTACCAAAATTTATACTCACAAACGGTGTTTTATTAAAAAGAATTTGAATTTATGCAAAAGTTATTTGCTTATTTGAGTTAACGATAGAGTTCTTCATCGAAAGTTTACGTTTTTTACGACAGCAAAAATGCACAAACACAGTCTTGGAACCTTTATATTTATAAAAATACAGCGTAATTTTGAAAAAATTAAGTAAATAAAGGGAAATAATGGTGTAACCTATAGAAGCATACGAACATTTGAATATACTTATAACACCATAATTGCACAAAGTATGATGTTTATTTGAAATGATGATCGAATTGTGTATGAAAAGAGAACATTTCCATGAAACTATACACTGGCAGGCACAGTCTTGAAACATTTAATTTCAAGCAGTAAATATTAATTTGAAAGACAGATAAATTAAGTGAAATAATAGAGCAAACTACAAGTAATTCTGAACAGGTAAAAATACTTACAACTTTCCTAAATGGAAACCTTATACATGATGTTCATCTAGTATGAAACTGCATTTCTTTGTAGCACTCCGACTTGTCATTATCTTTACGACATTTAATGCGACAGAATAAGGTTAATTTTATTCATCAAATAAAAAATCTGTAACCCCATTTATTAAATTTATATGAGTGCTCAATCTCTTGGTCATACAGCTACACTAGTTTTGGGTACTCAAGCAGCGGGTTCAGCTGCGAAATGTATTCTTAAAATTCTAGACAGAAAACCTCTTATTTCAACTAACATAGGGATTGTACCACATGAAAAATTCAAACGAAAAATTTCGTTCAAGAACGTTAATTTCAAATATTCCGCTCAAACTGAGAGACGGGTTCTTAAGGTAAGTTAATGTAGCAATTAGGGGTAAAATAATACAGTGTTATAGAAATTTATTTCCGTTTGAGTTGAATTTGTTTTAATCACTGTTTAGAGGCTCTGAACATGTTTAGTTCAAACTAGATCATCATGTAAACGAATAAGATATGAATAAGATAAATTCGTAGTTTTTGTTAGATGAAAATCTCAACCTACTAAGTAGATGTCTTGCAAATGCAACCATACTGAATGCAAACAAATTAATTTGTTCACACTACATTAAATTTAAGCAGTAAACTACTTAAATGTAACGTTATAAAGATCTTTGTATATCAATGTGATTACTCTGTACGAAGAGGTGGATAGTGGCTAGCAGTGGAATCCAGGACGCGCGTTTCGTCCTATTTGGGACTCGTCAGCTGGATGTACCTGCATCTCAGAGTTGATGTTCACTCTGGGACTCGAACCCAGTACCCTCGCTTCAAAAGCCATCGCTTTATCACTCGACCACTGAATGATACTAAGTGAATTTAAACTTCACCCCATTGCACAAGCAAGTGGCTATCAGGACTCAGCGGCCGAGTGGATAATGCGATGGCGTTTGAAGCGAGGGTACTGGGTTCGAGTCCCAGAGTGAACATCAACTCTGAGATGCAGGTACATCCAGCTGACGAGTCCCAAATAGGACGAAATGCGCGTCCTGGATTCCACTGCTAGCCACTATCCATCTCTGCTTACCATGCTTGTGAATTAAGGCTATATTGAGGCAATACGCACAGTATGCACATATGCCAATTAGAGACTGACCAGTTGCAGTCCTAGCACATCAATGGGAAGATTCAAACAAACAATACTGAATGAATCTGTATGAAGATTTAAGTCATATTCATAATAGGTTTAATTAAAAATTTTAAAAGCTTTCTTAAACGACTGAACCACTGATTCCAATTGTATGTGATGAAAATTCCAGTAATAAAATACAACTATTACTGTACTTGACATTACCACACTTTGTACTAAACAATATGTTGTATTCAAAGAAACAAAAATTCTTGATAGTTTTCAAAGCACCATCACGGAACACTGTATTTGAGAGAACGATTATATCAATTGCCAACATCAGATACTGGTATAAATTACTAAATGAGTCGAATGTTTTACTTTAAAAGTGTTTCACTGTAAGCACTAGCCAGATTACTGATTAAATCTGTATACGCGAAAGATAATCAACTTTGGATTTTCAAGACTATTTGATCCTGTTTTCTAATATCTATTTGTAATATTCTAGTTGTTTAGTTATCTAATGAGTTTCTGGAAATCATCTGCATTTTTTAGAACTTTTCACACACTGTTGAACCTGGTCAAACGGTTGCATTAGTTGGACCTTCTGGTTGTGGGAAATCAACACTGCTTCAGTTAGTATTGAGATTCTACGATCCATCATACCATGGTCCCGATAGTGGCGTGTTTTTCGATGATATCAACATCAGAAATATTGCACCTAGTTGGGTTAGAAAACAGATTGGTCTTGTTTCACAAGAACCCACTTTATTCGATCTCACCATAAGAGAGAATATTGCGTATGGAGACAATAGTCGAGAAGTGACAATGGAAGAGATTATTGAGGCAGCACGTGCAGCTAACATCCATGATTTTATTACAACACTTCCAGAGGTAAGTGAAATATTCGGTTTGTTAAATTCATTAAAAATTACGCTTCAGGTATATATTTTTATTGTATTGTCAGCTTTTATGCCATTAGGTTTGTTAAGAATATTTTTAAATGTGCTAAATAACTGTTTATAACTTTCACTGTTTTTAAGCAATATGAAACCAAAGTTGGACAACGTGGATCAAAGCTATCTGGAGGACAGAAACAGAGAATAGCCATTGCACGAGCTTTAGTTCGTAAACCTGTTTTACTTGTGTTGGACGAAGCCACTTCAGCTTTAGACAATGAGAGTGAGCGTATAGTTCAAGAAGCTCTTGATGCTGCTATGGGGTCGAGAACATCATTAGTTGTTGCCCATCGTCTATCGACAATTGTCAATGCTGATCTAGTAGTAGTGTTACAGGATGGACGTAAAATAGAGTCTGGACCTCCAGCAGCATTGCTCGCTAAGAAAGGAGCTTTCTATGCATTGCATCACATAGAGAATTAAATTATCTACCTGAACTTTTCCGAGATCCTACTATTTTCAAGCACTTTATAATATATTTGGAACACTTTTAATTTTTTGGTGTATCTAGAATTCATTTGTATAAAATATTATTTTATTCAGCGAAATTATATTACTGCTATTTTACATCCACTTTCTGGTCATTGTAATCTTTATGTTTGTGATAATTTAAAGTATTCGATTAACATTGACTAATTTCGTTTATGATTTTCCCAAAGACGTGAAACTAGTTTGTCCCTGAAAATGGAGGTTAATGAAATATACGTTGAAGTTAAATGAAGCAGTTTATCATGGAGTTTCATGAGAAATTGTGTATTATATTTTGAAAACTGACACCTATAGTCACTATTGTTGCGACAAAGTAACTTTCTAATGTCTAATGGTTTTCACTTGTCCTTTATTTGATGTCAATCTGAATAAATGTAACTCACAAAGATTGAATTTCGATAAAAGGAAACTTCAGAAGATTATTTACTTAGTATTGTTTATTTGAATCTTCCCATTGATGTGCTAGGACTGCAACTGGTCAGTCTCTAATTGGCATATGTGCATACTGTGCGTATTGCATTGATATAGCTTACATTCACAAGCATGGTAAGCAACGATGGATAGTTACTGGGTTTGAGTCTCAAAGTGAACATCAACTCTCAGATGCAGGTACATCCAGCTGACGAGTCCCAAATAGGACGAAACGTGCGTCCTGGATTCCATTGTTACCTACTATCCACCTTTGTTCACAAGATTATATTCCAAAATAATATTATAAAGTTTTCAACCACCAACATAAACGGAATTAACGTTATTTAATCCTACTAAACGACGGCTTATTTATACTTAAAACTTTCATGTATTTTCTCTAGATCATCAGTTTCAATTATCAAAGTTGGTTTTGGCTTTGTTGAATATCTCAATTGCTTTTATGTAATGAAAATAAGAATAACATGGTTTTTCATAAATATATATCAACAATACTCCTCAAAAGTCAACTTAAGTGAAGCTGATGGAATTAACATTAAATCCGATTACTTTATTAAATAAAATGTATGATAAGTTACTATTAGCGTACAGCTTTTATTCAACGAATCTATTATAAGTCTTTTTAAATATATGGCAACAGATGTTGTTTTAACTATTTAAAATAGTGTAGAATACCTGTATATTTGCTGCTAATATAAATATGACGCATACATTGTATACGGCAAAGGTACATGTGTAGAAGCGAATGTCATCAAATTTCGAGTAAATTTGTACATAATTTCGAAAAAAAAACCCGGTGAAAAACGACTATAGCAGAATAATTTTAATTCATTTAACTTGTTAATTCACTTTAGCTGCCTAATACCTAGCAATAGTGAGATTAATTTTTTTAAGAATAAAAAGCGAGCATACTTTCTACTGTAATATCAGGAAAGCTTTTATCAACGATGAATGATAGAGTATTAAATTTAGTAGAGTTGTGTGGACATGGTTAATACTTAAATGTTAAATAATGTAAATAGATTAGGAGCAATATGTGATGACAAATTACTGAAAAACTGTTGGTAAAATTTACACAGTTTCTTATACAAAAGTGAAGTGATTTTAGGAATGAAATGAGTGATACTTAAAGAAGACGTAACGGTAAAGAGAAAGAATTTATAATTAAAAACTGGATATAGCATGTAAAGCAACTATGCTTTGGATCATGAAGTCACCAAGGAAATACAGGACGGACAACACTTTTCTGATGAATGGATAAATCAATCTTTATTTTGTAATATTGATGAAATTGGTGATGTGTAATTGGTCCAATATTTTCTGTCCGTTGATTATTTTAAAGGACTTTGAGATTTTACTGTCGTCCATACTAACATGGACAACTGTGTGACAGTGTTCCTGAACACTACGCTTGAAAAAAATTACATCGTTACCATAATTAACTTGAAACCCAATTCATTCCAAGTTCCCAGGTTGATTCGAAATTTAATAGTCACCCACTAAACACATTGAATAAAAACATCATATTAGTTAAATTCAGATAATTCTTGATCATTCATAAATGCTTTTTCATGTATCATTTAGATTACTATGATATTTCTTTTCTTTTTCTGGGGTTTCTATCTTGTGACTTGTTTCTACTACTTAATTTCTACACAGTAAGTTGAGTCAACTACAGTTTTTTAAAAAAAGTTGTTATTTCAATGCTTGTTTTCATATTTATCTGTATTCTTCTTTTTCTTCATCATCATCATTATGATAAGTATATGATGTTAAGTTTTAGGGATTCTTCATTTTAACATAATTATTTTGGATTCTGTCATCTTCATAAATTATAAGTGATTACAAAATTTATTAAAGCGAGATTTATGATCAAGTCATCTATGACAATTATCATTTAGGAATATGAAATTTCTATAAGTACTATAGATGTTACATGATGCATTTAGTTTTTTCTTTTACATTCCATAGAAAACCATAGAAATATAATATAGTGTGATTTTAATCAGAAGGGGATTTGTGAAGATTTCAGTATATTTCAAAGTTGAAATCATGAGTCAATTGAAGCTAGACCACCATCGAAAACCTGGAAGCACTGCTTGACGGCCGTTTCGTCCTATTATGGGACTCCTCAGAAGTGCGCACCCACGATCCCGCACTCGCGAGATTCGAACCCAGGACCTACCAGTTACGAGCCAGAGCCCTTAATGTGATTTCATGTATTAAATAAAATTACGTATGATATCATTTTGAAGCATTTTAATATGTTTGAAATCTGTCTAACGAATAGGCGAATTAGTATCAGTGAGGATTGATTTTGTCAATCTTATACATTTCAGAATACTTCACAACTGTGTCGATTTCCTTACCCTATTCTTGATGTTATTGTTGAAATTAAACTTAAAAGTTCCTTAGAAATTAGGCATCTCAATTAGTTTGTTGAGGTTTATTTTGTGTAGAAGATATTTTCAGTTCTAATGCTTTTTTACCGGAATATTGAGTGTACAAAGTCCAATTAAAATTCATCATAATCAGAACAGTTAAGTTCAAAGAAAAATAGAACAGATGTTGTATTTTTGTTTAAATAATAAGTCAACAGTTGTCTTGGTTTGACTGATAGTCTTAACATCCTTCACTGTAACTCGTGATTGACTTGAAAAATGGAGTTTTTGCCAGTATATTATTATCAAGAAAATTTTTCAATATTTCATTAATAGATCAGAAGGGGTTTTTTGTGAAGAATTTAGTATTTTCATAGATGAAATCATGAGTCAATTGAAGCTAGATCACCATGGAAAACCTGGAAGCACTGGACGGCCGTTTCGTCCTATTACGGGACTCCTCAACAGTGCACAAAATCGTGGATTGGTTGAAGTTAGACATTAACACCATTGGATGCCGGCTCAGTGGTTTATCGATTAAGTGCTCTGGCGCGAGACTGGTAGATCCTGAGTTCGAATCTTGCGAGAAGAGGTCGTGGATGCGCACTGCTGAGGAGTCCCACAATAGGATGAAACGGCCGTCCAGTTCTTCCAGGTTTTCCATGGTGGTTTAGCTTCAATTGATTCATGATTTCAACTACTTCATTAATAGCCCAAAAGGTTATGTCAATGCTCACTGGAATTATGAACAATTCAGTTCTCGTATTTACTGAACAATCCAACAATATCTATAATACCTGATGTTTATAATTAAATGAAACACGATCCTATGTCCTTCGTTTATTGATACTTTTAAGAGATATACTTGCACTACAAAAGAACCCTCAACTGTTGTAAGGAGTTCGAAATCTCTCTGTCATTACTACAGTTAGCGATATTATTATTGGATCACTCAGGCTGCCATTAATAGATTTTCATGATAATGAAACAAATTAAATATAATTTAGATAACTGTATATTTCATTTATACTTGAGAATCTGTTCAAAGTATCTATGGGTTGTTCAGTTTTAGTTTTAATAAAAAATGAACTCACTCAAAAGACAAGAACCGTAAATATTTATGCATTATTTTGATGTTGTAATGAATTTTATATTATTGCTAAGACCAACTCATTTCTTTTTCTAAGGAGAAGAAATAAACGTGAATTCATATTACCCTATAATCACTTATTTCATCGTTCAGACATTGATTATTCTTCACTTTAACCTAGTGATTCTAGATAATCATTCATTACTTTTTCCAGTCACATGTTTAAATGAAAAAATATTTCATCATGTATGATTTAATATCGTTTTATGATTCATTCAGTGATAAGTGAAATAGAATTTTCATTATGATTATAATCATATGCTCACTAGTGACTGACTTCAAACTACATGTCCTGGAGTTCTAGTGGGAAGCAGTGAACAGTGGAGTTCAACCAGGTCTGTTGTGAGATAAAAACTCACTGAAGACAATTGGTGAATGGTGGTTCATAATTCGTGAATCGGTTGAAGTTAGACATTAACACCGTTTGATGCCGGTCGGCTCAGTGGTCTATCGGTTAAAGGCTCCGGCTCGAGACTGGTAGGTCCTGGGTTCGAATCTCACGAGTGCGGGATCGTGGATACGCACTGCTGAGGAGTCCCATAATAGGACGAAACGGCCGTCCAGTGCTTCCAGGTTTTCGATGGTGGTCTAGCTTCAATTGACTCATGATTTCAACTTCTCATAATGAGTTTAGTTTAGTGAACGAGAACACAAAATTACCTAATCTGTTGTAAAATCTGAGAACCATCCAGTAAATACTTAATTTGCAAAATGTCAATTAATTGTTTCAGACTTGACTGTTCCTTTTGTGAATATCGATCAATCGTCTCAGACTTCATTGTTCTTTCATTTTCATTCTTTGTTCTCGTTCTCTTTTCTTTGATTTTCTTAATCTTCTGCTTCCAGGCATCCCACTCAATTGCTTTTTTAAAGATTTGCTTTCAATAGTTTCTTAAAATCTATTAACCGTACTCAACAGTTTTGTTTCCTGTCCAAATAACGTATTCAAAGGCAGATTAACATTGTAAAATCATTATAAAATCATTGTTCTGTTATTATTGCTATCACGAAAATTTTTTAATTAATACAACACTAGTGACCATTCCTCTAAACAGAGCTCGATAAAGATAAGGAATGAAATCTAGGACTAGTCATCTGCATTTTGCTTCACCTTCGACAATAGTACCTTTTGCTGATTAATTGCAGCCAACAATGATTTTCTCACTTAAAAAGTTAATCTCTGTAATGCAACTGGTCTAAAGAGATGTAATTTTTTAAGAATTATGTGACACCAATGCGAAGCATTCTAAATAGTCAGATAACAA